GTCAAAGCTTTTGAAAGAGCCCCGCCAGAGAGCTGGGGGAGCCAGAATGACCTCTCGCGTGTGATGTCAGAGCGGCAACATCACACGGGAGAGGTGGAATTTGCCCCTAGGAATCCAAGGCCGCCACCCTGAGGCTCAGGGAGGCAAAATAACGTTTAGCCCCGCGCGGCCATTGCAGCTGGTGGCCATAACTTTTTAAAGAGCCCCTCCCTAGAGCTGGGGGAGCCAGAATGACGTCTCGTGTGTGACCTCACGCAAGAGGTGGACTTTGCCCCTATGCCTGGAAACAGGAGAATTCCCCTGTGCACTTTTGCAAAACAAGAGAATCATCCCCCTGGGCAGGAGGGAAGATATAATGAATCGGATGGCAGAAAGCCATGGGCAGAGCCACCACCCCATATATAGGGGGCGGTGCCTCTGCCCAAGAGAGAGAGAGAGAGACACAGAGAGAGATGGGATATTTCCTCCCCCCACCTTTTTCATTCTGGGGTAAAGGGGGGGGGGATGCTGCCGTTTTAAAAACATTTTTAATTGGGGGATATAGAAAGTAGATCTGATTTTTTTGAAGAATGGAAGAAAGGAAAGAAAAAGGGGAATAACCGAGAGATTCCAGGCTCTGTAATTATTGTCTCAATTTCAGGATGAAATTAACAAAAATCGACTGGGAGACGGTCTCCAGCAGGAAAATTTAATTTTACCTTATTTACTTTTTTGGGGGTGGGGGTGGGGAGAGAGAAAGGCCAGAGGCAATCATTGATCATATATATCTATTTATAGTGGGGAAGACGAGTAAATAAGGAGTCATTTGCATCTTTTTGTTTTTCGGGTGGTCGTTTTTTTAAAAAAAGAAATGGTTCCAGGTTTCTCGATGGTCTGGAATTGCGTTAAGCTTTGGAGGGCCTGCGGCTAGAGAGAGTCATGAAAAAGTCTCCCTTTCAAATGTTTCTAGAAATCAGGTGCCTCTAGAAATTAGGGGTACTTTGGGCCACACGTGTGTAAAATATAAAGACGTCTAGCTTCTCCTAAAATGCATTTACGTTTGAAATCTGGAGGACTGCCGTTGAGAGACCAGCTCCGAGAGAACTTGTGACTGACCCAAGGTCACACCAGCAGCTGCAGGTGGAGGAGGAGTGGGGACGGGTGTGAAGCGGCTTTTGACAGTCGGCTCTCCCCCACCCCTCTCCTTTTGCAGGGGCCGCCACTCGCTTCTTGGAGGCGCCCTTCAGCCGGGCCGGCTCCCGAGCAAGTTGCAGAGACGGTTCGAGGCTGCCGCCAGCGAGTCAGGATGACCCGTCGTGGGAACGCTCCGTCTCCGCGTCGGGGCGCGCCGCCTGCCTGCCTGCCTTTTCCCTCTCCCGGGGCGGAGGCGGGCCCGGAAGGGGCTGGCTCGGCCCGGCCGGAACGCCTTCC